GTGAATTTACTCTAGCATCCTGGGGTGCTACAGTGGACAGTTTGGGAACTGCAGGAGTAAGGATAATTTCTGTAGACCCCTTATTCGTAATGATCAAAACAGTGTAGTTTAGAACAAACACCTGCCGGTCCCTTAAAGGATATGTAGTCCTAAATATTTTGTTGAGCAGGCCAATTTAATTACATTTCCGTTGTATTTACTTTGCGGGTCACCTCCTTTGGTCTATCATCTTTTTCCTTTGTACACTTAACTGATTCTTACACAACCATGCTTTTCTGGTCCGCTCATATTTATACTAGTAATATTTCAGTGAATTTTTGCCATAACCGACGCTCTTAGGATCCTTGTCATTATTAATGAGTGCATAAAGTAGTTTTTTAACATTCAGAAATAAAGGTCTAGGGTTATTCAAATGACATTGTATGAAGAAAATGGAACGCATGTCCGTCTGCCCGTTTGATATGCTTCTTGTTTCAGATTTTCTCCTATGCTTCTGAAGAATTGTTGCAAGCTGTGAGTTTCAAGGAAATACTTTTACCTTGTTTGATTTATGTAATGCATCCTCGGCTATTTTCCGATCACTAGAAGCCATGTACCATGCTTGACCAAGAACACCAGCTTCCTGTAAAAAAAAGAGGCATTCCTATCTACGTATCCCCAAAACCAAAGATTTCCTATGCTCTTTTAATAAACCTATCAATTGTATATTAATCAGGGGGTATTTCACAGGATGTGAATATTTTACAAATGATGCGTAGATCATGTAAATACTGGATTACCTTTGTATAGATTTAATCACAAAATCTGCAATGTAAATGTGCTTTTCATAAACATCCTTTTGATAGAAAAAATAATGAAATGAGCAGTTATTAATTTTTTTTCCTATAAAGAACTTGAATTACCCAAAGGGTAGCCCATTAGATTTTGATCAAAATTTTGTGGCATCTAGTCCCCTATCCCTTATTAAAAAAAACCTTATACCTTATACCAGAGTTATACCTGCTCTGCTGTTGTAGAACCACCTTGAAAGCTATTACTTCGTGTACCTATGGTGTGGCTTGCAGGTTCTGAAGATCCTGAGAAAGAGAATATTACTTGTAGGCTTCCATCAATATAGTTGCTATCTGGATTTCTAAAAATGAGAAGGCTAGTGATGCAACATTGTCATTCTATTATTTAGTTCTATTTGCTTTCTATTGAATATGTTTGCTTGGGATGGGTTACTTCCTTCCAGTTCAGTGACAAGGACCAAATAAGGACAATCTTGGAAGTCATGGTAATAACCAGCAAGGTTTCTACCCAGATCAAAATTCATTAACTGGACACCAATTCTAAATTAAATTAAATTTAAGAATACTTACTTGACAAGATTGGTGGCTTCTGGGGTAGTGGCCTAGGGTTAGGGTTGGAGATTAAAAAAATAAAGGATGGCATTAGATATCATACTGCTATCCACATGCCCTTTTGTCCAGAATTCACTGATGTAAGAAAAACAACAATAGTACAAAAAATATCTAATGTTAACTGTAAGGGTCCAATGCTTTGGAAGATATATTTAAGGTTCATATAACTTGCATTGGGCCATATTATGGTTTGTTTGATTTAACCTAGGGGTATGCAAAGTGGCAAAATTCAGTGGCAAAGATGCTTTAGATCTGGCACAGGCATACTTGTCTATTTCAGTGATTCTTTAAAGAAACTACCTTTTTGTCAACCTGCAGGGTATTTGTGCTGTTCCAGGAAAATAAGTGTTTGAATTTGTATGCTATGAATTAATGCAGCATTAAAGAGGCAGTAACACAGGACTTTTTCACTTTGGATTCCTAATTTTAGCATATTGTGTAAACCCAACCTGTGTGGGCTTGTAAACCATGGTTAAACAATCTTTTTGCTTGGTTGATGACCCCAGTGCGAGTTATCCAAAGGGATATGAAGATGAACAGAAAACAGCCAGCTGCTCCACGCTTTAACTATAGTTGATAATAAAGGCTAACAGAACTTGGGTTGTGATGCCATGATATTTCCATTTTCCTGGCAATGTGTACCTGATTTTATGATGATATCACAGAGGAAACAAATTGTGATATTCTACATGAGGCATAAATGCCTAAATAACCAATTTCCATTTTTGATGGCAACCATACATTTCCTATGATGTTGAACTTGGTCATTAACATTGTCTAAAAGCAATATGGAAGACTTGTTAGTGCCAACATACAAATGTGTCACCTCTTATCAATGTTTATATTCTTTTGAGGACCCCCCCCCCCTTTAGAGTTAGAACCAACAAATGGTCTGTAATAATAAAGCTGTTTTAAAAGCAAATGACAGTGGTTTACTTTTGAATGCTAGATGGGATGGGTGGAAGAGGAATATCATGATTGGAACCCCGGCGGCGTTCAGCAGGTATAGGCTTATCTGTGTTTGAAAAAGGACAGAGAAGTCTTATTAGTTAGATTCACAAATGAGTCCAGCTTTGGTGGGACTAGTCCAACTTGTACTAGAGCAATGACTGATCAGATGTTGATCTTGTACTTGCTGATATGCTAGGGCTATAGTTGTTGCTGATCCCTTCTATCCTCTACTGACTAAATAATTCCCTGTGTAACATTTTAATGCATTGACAATTAATGAACAGAACGTGATGCAAGGAGCAGTTCAGATAAGAAAACTAAAATTGGTTTACCAGTCTTTATTTCACAGTCCAAGTGATACTATGACTGGATTCACACATGTGCAAACCCAGCCGATTATGATTTATTCAGTAGACCATAGTTAAACAGTATAATGACTAATTATAATATACGATCAGGCCATTATCTACACACAGAACAGAAATAGACTGTTCTTTAGTAACTTGCTCTTGATCTTTTAGCAATGATAGGCAAAAGTTGCACAGTATCTTAAGGCAGACGTGTCTGCAGGTGTCTTAAATTTGGCATCATCTTCTCATTCTGCTTTTTCAGAGGAATCCCATGATCAATCTATATATGTTACATTTAGAAAACAATAATGCATATACAAAGACTGCAATCTTATTTAAACAGACCATTTAGTTGATCTGTGGAGTCCCTGGGGTTCTCTGAGCTTGGTTGTTTTCTTACAAACGTTTCATTACCTGGCTAGATAACATCTTCAGTGCTAGAATGGAATTCTCTTTTAGCACTGAAGATATTACCTAGCCAGGTAACGAAATATTTGCAAGAAAACAACCAAGCTCAGAGAACCCCAAGGACTCTACAGTTCAACCCTGAGCTACACATATTTGCATTTAGTTGAGCATTTTGCAAGGACCCCAAAAATTGGACAGTGATACACTAATAGGTTAGACAACCTTTGGCCCTCCAGATTTGGAGTCCATATCACACAACCTTTTCCTCTCCGGGGCTGATAGAAATTTGTTAAAGACATTTCGAAAGCATTGCCTACTGTTAAATTAACTTTATTGATTAATCTAGCACCCTTTTTATAGTACAAAGGTGGAAATGAATTAAACAATTCCAGACAATATATTTTGGATACTTCAGGAGCAGATGGAAATTTTAGCAACCTGGCCTAGGTGAAAATGTTTTCTCTGTTCTTAAATTGAGAGCATGAGAATAGTCCTGTGGATCAGGCCTAGGTCCATCTAGCCAGCACTGTGTCTCATATGGTGGCTCACCAGATGCATCTACTCAGGCCACAAATGTAGTTCTTCTCCCCCACTGTTGGAATTAATATCTATTTGTAGAAAGACAGACTATTTGTCTATCTAACTCAGCCAATACAGTACTTGCAACATCTCTCCAAACTCTAATGTACAAGTCTTTCAACTCACTGCTACTTGGTCCTCTTATTTACTAGAAAAGCAAGGAAGTGGACTTGGTAAAGTAATGCATATGTTCTACCACTGTTATGCTATTATTCCCCATAGGAAATGTGGCAATCACTAATAGTATTAAAAGTTTTGAAAAACAAAAAGCAATTTACCTTCAGTAATACTTAAGTGGTCTCTATCAGGTAAGCTTGGTTTCTATAATACAGAATGAAAGCAAATAAATGTAAATAAGTTTTATTTTATTTATATATCTGCTCTTTTCTTAGACTTCTGATCAAGGGAAAGAATGTCTGATACAACATAGCTCAATATTAAGCATTTCCAATAATAGAATTCAATGTAGTCCTCTAATTGTAATAGATATTCACTATTTACTGTTCAACTATTAATGGAGACAGAAGAACCACATATTTGATACAAGAAAAAGCGAGCATAAATTTCTGTTGCATTCAGTAGTATTGTTGAGTATTTGCTTTTCTGCAGAAGCAGAGCTATTTTTACAGGTAACTCTTTTGTAGTTATCAGTGGGATAATAAAGATGATATGATAGACAATTATACTGAAAAATTAGAATAACCTCTATGCCTCCAGATGTGGTGGACATCAATGTCCATAATCCCTAGTCGGTGTAGCCAATATCCAGTAGAGCAGCTGAGATGCAACCCATCCAGAGAGCACCAGGTTGGACAAGAATGGTTGAAAATACTGTTATTTAATCTTGTGGATCACTCCTGATCCAACTGGAATTATTAATTTGATTTGAAATGTTGACTCATTTTCATTTGAAACATTCCGATTTGTATTTCAAAACACTTAGATTCAGTTTCAAGCTGTCACTCTAAGTCAATTTGATTGCTGAATTAATTACACAAAAAGGGGTGGGACTTTGTTCACTTGGTCAGGGCTGCTATCTTGACTGTTTGGACCCCTGTGGATTTCCCTGACAAAAGCAATTGAATTGTCAAATCAATTTCTAAATCTGAATCATTCCAACAATTTGATTTCTTGCATAAATTCAATTTGTATATTTTATATAGTCATCTCTGAATCGCATCTCCAAATCAAAACTCTGCACAGCTCTAGTAAGCTAATGGATTTTGAAAGATTATTTCTGCTTTGCACTCTTGGCAATAAGGTTAACTGAGTTTTATGCTCACTGTAGCAAATTACAGCTTGGGCACTAATAAATTGTGTTACTTAGCCATTGCATATTCATTATGTTAGCAACAGAATCCATCCTGAACCATAATTTATATTCTTCAACACAGAATATAAATAGAAAACAATTTAAATTAAATGTTTGGCAATAGTCAATATCAAGATTATAATTGATCCTTCAATATGAACAGAAGCTAAATATACTGAAAAAGACTTTTGTGCTGGTCAGAGGAAAAATTTTAAAATCCATATTAAGGTAATACTCTTATTAAGCCAACACAAGGTCATAAAAGCTTTTAATTTTAAGTTAATTTTAATGAAATGGAAGCTTTTAATTTCTTAAGAATTCTGCATTAGGTAATATAGTAACAAAAAATGCTCCAGTTAGGTCAGTATGTTTGAAAATATACAATCTTGAATCTGAATCACAGAAATGGGAGATCAACCATTACATGCTTATCTTTAACTGGAATCATTGTGTATTTAACTCAAATTTTCCTACAATAGACTCCGTTCTTAACTATGGGTCGTCTGTAACCCAGGTGTTCTTAACCCAGGGACTACCTGTAGATAGATTTTGGGCATATTCCAATACCTTTGCTATGTCTGCTCTTTCCTATGCTTTAATCAACAAATGTTTCAGCGTTGCAATTTTGCTGGGGGGGGGGACCACTTAAAATTTTAGAACCCGTTGAAAATTCCAGATCATTTTCTAATGTTTGATACCAAATCTTATTTCCAATAATACAAAGAGAAATTAAAGGTATAATATGATTAATTCAATCCAACAGAATACAAAATAAAAGATCTGTGTGTGTATGTATATATGTACGTATGTATGTAGATAGATAGATAGACAGATGATAGATAAATAGAACAAGGAGGTGATAATAGAATTCATGAACAATTTTAGGCTGCCTTTAGAATTACACTTCAGCGTGTGATGATTTGAAAAACAGAAACTCACCGGTGGTATTGCAGGATTCATGAGTTTTTTTCTGCAGAAAAAAAATATGGATGCAAGGGTGTTATTAAGCTTCCCTTTTTCTTGCAGTCTTCTTCCTAATGATCCAACCTATGGATACCCAAGTTTGGATGCCTGTATCCCTTTATACAAGCGCTTCTTTACATGCCCTCTAAATGGAAGACATTCAGCACGGCCTCCACAAATACTGATACAATGCATGGTAAAGGGAAGCTATATAGCTATGACAATCACACTGTTTGCAAATGCAGGATATATCATTCTCATTGGTGCCATCTGGGAGGAAAGCATTAGGCCTGGAGTCAAAGGTCCTTCTACGTAGCACCAATTCCATTTCTGACTCCCTCCAAACCATTTTCAAGTTGGCCCTGTCACTGTCTTTCCTTCTGACAACCCCAGAATACTGGGAAGAGGCAAGGAATGCCAGCGTCCCTTTGTGCCAGCCAGTAGGACAGTACGATGGTCATCTAATCCTCATTCAGGAGCTGCCATCAGAGCAGTAGTGGCAGTTCCTGGAGTAACCAAAATCTCCTTGCCCCTTTCCCCGGAAGGGGAAAAACATGGCTAGCTCCATTCCTCCGTGGGTATGCCTATTCTTCAAACCAGCCAAGTTGTTTAGGAATTTGAGCCATGCTTCTGCTAGGCTGCCCCCCAAAGATGACACTGTCATAGAGGAGGTGGCCCTGACATCAGATGAGTCCAAACGCCAGATGTCAACGAATCCACAGACTTCTAGCAGAAAGAACTGGAATTGCTGAAGTTAAAAATATTAGTCATGATGAAATTTGCTTGAAGTATGCCCAACTGGGAAAGGGTAAACAAACACCTCCTCCTCAGAGTAATGCGACTGATATTTTTTCCCAATGTGTTTTAAACAGCATTTCCTCATATTACAGTAGCAGTACAAAAGTTAACATACGCCGAGGTTCTTCAGGGGTGGGTTAAGCAGATCAGAAACTCAATGGCAGGAAAATTAGGTTGGGCTGAGGGGCTGGCTGTAATTTTAAACATAATTAGGCTCAGGGATATTGGATTTGTTAAAGTTTGGTTCATGTTGCCTTACATGGTTTTGTTAGGCTTTAAAAAAAAAAAAACCGCTGGAAAAAACCATATTATTTTCTTTTTGGTATATTTTCCCTAATATATTATTTTAAAAAGAATACTATTCTTTAGACTGGAGGCAACTTTCCCAAAAATATCTTTTTTAAGAATACACCTTTTTCAAATACATACTTTTTGATGGGAATTTTTAAGTGGAAAATGACAGATGCTAACAAATCTTGATCACTGCAGCCAGTCTGTAGTAATTTCACTCAAAGAGGTCAAAAAAGTCAAGATGGCAGCTGCAACCACATGATCAAAACCCTGTCCCTTTTTTAATGCACATCACAGACTTCGTGCACTGCATTTTCAGGAGTCCTTAAAATAAAAAAACCTTTCTTTACATCTATCCAAGCTATCAGAACAATAAGTACTTCAGTAATATTGTATATAAAAAGACTACAATCCATAATATTGCCTCTGGTAAATACTGCATTTAAAGATTACAAAACCTGGAACAGTTTCTATAGTGGGAAGTAATGGTGTTTTTATTACTTACGCGATCCTGGGAAATGGAGAGGGAACACTAACAGAAGGAATTTTAAGTTCTGGAGCACCATTGCCGCTATTATCTGAAAATTCAAACGCAGTAGTTAGTTCAATGCACCTGTTGGTTATAAAAAAGTTACGTTTCTAAAGTTTAGACTAGTACGCTTCGAGGATAAGAAAGAGACCCTGAACATCAGCTGTGCCAATCCACTGACAGAAGCTTATGGGAAAAAACAGGCGTATGTATGAAGTACCTATTTCGTAGGATTTGCATAGTCTAGTTGAAAAGACAGAAACTGTGTTGAATTCCAACTTAACTCTCAAAATTATTAAAGCATCTTGAAAATCCTTAACATACAATAAAACCTTGGTTTTATAGACAAAGTGGGGAGAAGCAGTGTCTATTAAAGCCAAATGTCAGTTAAATTCCAGTTTACATAAACTACACATTGTCTGGTGAAGCAGTTGAAATGCAATTTTTGACTCTCACATCCAAAGTCTGCTGAATGGAGGGCCATAAAATCCACGTTTTACCATATATATCATACAGTATTTATAGGAAACCATTTGTGTATTAACATTATCGATACACAATTATAATCAAGGATAAAAAATACTGAAACTTTTGAGCATTTCATATTATTTTGTCATTTGTACAACAGTTTAATATGAGAAACAAGGTCAATATTTCTCAACTTTGGCCACTTGAAGATGTGTAGACTTAACTCCCAGAATTCCCCAGCCAGCCAGCATCTCCCCAGGGGAATTCTGGGAGTTGAAGTCCACATATCTTCAAGTGGCCAAGGCTGAGAAACACTGCGGTAGGTTTATGTTATTTCCTTAACATGGCAGGGAGAGGAATTGGGAGAAAATGATTTGTATAAGGTTGTATTTGTGGTAGAAGTGAAATTCAAAGCAGAGCTTTCCCAGTTGATAGCTCAGGTTCTTACCCGCTATATTAAACCAGCTTTTTAAACTAGTGTGGAAGCTATGCTTTTCCTGATGTTGCTGAGTACAATTTCCATACAATAATCTCTCACCACTGATCACGCTTGCCAGGGCAGGTGGGAATTGTAGTTCCACAACATCAGAAGGCCACAGGTTCCTCACCTATTAAGAAATACTTTAACCCAGTGTTGTTCCCAAATTTCCCCATTCTTAAGAAAGGTAGTTTACAACACCAAATTCACACCCACCCAACGCCGCCTGCGCGGATTTTGGGGTGAGGAGTATTATT